TCCTTCAAGCTCTTGATCATCTTTGTACCACTGGTAGGAAACGTGAGTTCCACTTTGTACCTTACATTTGCATGAGAATTCCACGCACGATCCTTCTGTTTGTCTTTGAGATGTAGGGTGCTGGACTATTATTATCTGCTCTATAGTCAACAATACAAAACATTTAGGAGAGCAAAGGCAGCAGAGCGTTTTGAAACGTGGAGGAAAAGGGGGGGGGGTTATTTTTCTCCCACCTATGTGCATATCCATACTCAAATTTTCCAATATTCGTTGGCACAAGCGAACCTCTTTGTAATCTTTACAGTTTTCGAGTGTGTCCAATATCGATTTGTGAGTTTCATTTACCCTGGCACTGACTAAAATCATTCGATTTGGGTACCCAAAGGCAAAGGGAAATCATGTCAGTCTAACTTCCTAGACATTTTGGATCAATTTTACTATAGGTAGTATTGGCCGACATGGCGACCGACATGGCGACCGACATGTCGGTTAACAGTCGGTCGATAGTCGGTCGATAGTCGGTCGATAGTCGGTCGACATGTCGGTCGATATGTTGACCGATATGTCGGTCGCCATGTCGGCCGACATATATCGGTTGACATATCGACCGACATGTCGACCGACTATCGACCGACTGTCGACCGACTATTGACCGACTGTCGACCGACTATGGACCGACTGTTGACCGACTATGGACCGACTGTTGACCGACTATGGACCGACTGTTGACCAACATGTCGATCGACATGTCGGTCGCCATGTCGGTTGCCATGTCGGTCACCATGTTGGCCGACACTACTTATAGTAACATTGATCCGACATTTTATGGAGAATTACTGCAGTTGGTAAGCTTCTCAAACACATGCTGGAGCAATTCATAAAAAGATGACGTTGATTAAAGGAATTGTGAAAAGAACTCGAGATTTGATATTTCACTGTGTCCCCCTTGCAAATTTTTGCTTGGGAGGGGCTAAGGGCCCCCTCTGTTCCCCCTGCTTTGCCGCCTAAGTTTCCTGCGATATGGCATTTGGTATTTTAGGTACATTCAAAAGCAAGGAATCATAGTTTGAAACATAGTTTCAATATGATTTATGCATAAAATATGAAGTTACCTGAACCATCCTGCTGCCTCAAGGATAAATCAGGTGTTGCTCTGGGAGACACACGAGGTGTTCCACTGTTGGAAGGAGCATAACCAGGATTCAGTCTAGAGAAATCAGGGTGAAGTGCAACACCACTAGAGACTGATTGTGCTACCTGATTGTTATTTCCACTTTCTGTGAAAGAAAACATTTGGGCACATTTAAATAATGTAGGGTAATCAATGGCAAGCCTTACAGCTTAACATTATCAACATTGCATAAAGCCTGCTGTTTGCAACTATTCATCCCCTTCAATAAAAAATCCGGTTGCACAGGAAACACACATTTGTAGTAAGATTTGAGAGATATAAAACAAGTGAAAATTCAACAAAGTGCACACATCATCTAGGATGGCCATACATCATTCATGGATTACACTAAGCCCATGAGTGTTTTAAAGAGATGGTATCAAATTATTATTTAGGACTCAGCATTACAAAGGTAATGATGATGTAATGTATTTACTATCCCAACATAGCTTTAACTAAAGAAGCCATTTTGTATACTTGCTGGGATTAAGAACTGAGACCGCAAAGAAAAGCTTTTATTATATTGACCCAGCAGTTTATAGTAATTTTTCAGAAAATAAGAATTAGTTTTATAATCTCATATTTGCATATTTCTACACACTCATAGTTTAGGATGTAAGTAGTAAATCTGATTAGATATCTATATTTTACTGTATTTTAAGATTTCTATATAATTATATCTAGTTTAATTAATTATAGGGCTCCTTTAGATAACAGAATACCATGTATCCTGAAGGGATCACCCTGTTTAAGTAAAAGTCTCAACTCTAATTCACATATAAAGCACATTACATGTTAATCAGTAGCTACTTAATTCTCACGTGTAGAAGTTGTCAAATTACCATTGCCATGCTGAGGGTCTGCACCTCCATTTACATGAATCATCAGTTGGGTCTCGTGCTGGTTACCCTGCTGATCAATACTGGTATTGGTGTCCCCTGGCAGGTTAATTTGACCATTATTTCTTCTTTTTCTCCAAAGTAATACAATGATTAAAATCATTACACCAAAAAGTACACCAATAATGATATAAATTGGCACAAATTGTCCTGATTCTCCTGTATTGCTGCTGATCGATGGTTTTATAACAGGACCACACTTCTTATCTGTTCGCAAACTGCACTGTCTTTTGTCAAGGCCATGTCTCACACATTCTGCTTGTATCTCATCTTTTCCATCAGAACAGCAATAAGAACACTCATGGCATGCATGTGATCCATCCTTAGCATTGTAGTAATAACCATGTTCACAAGTTCCATTGCATTTGGTATTTGCATCCCTTGTGCAGGATGCTGTTATAATCTCATGTTTAGCACAGTGTTGACACACATAACAGGGAGAAGAGTCATAATTGTTAGAATATGTTCCGTTGTGGCAACGCTGGCAGTAGGTGTCCTTCACAGGGCTAATAACAACGCTTCCACATTTTGGTTCCAGCCCCCAACCCTCATTGCAGACTCCACAAGGCTGACATTTTTCAAAGTTCCCATCTGCACTTTTAACAGTGTATTGATTTTCATTACACAGTTGATTACTTCCACAGAAATCTCCCTAATAGAGCAAAAAGAGGGTAATTATATTTAGTGGGTTTTAGACTAAAACCTTTGAATGTTTCCTAGAATTTACAGCATTGAAACATTGTTGGGTAAGATACAAGAAAACATGATTCTCAGAGATACTTCTATGACACATTTTTTTTTATTGGGAGTCCCTGGACCTTTCATAGATAACCTGGGAATATCTTAAAACTATTCACGAAGATCTCTCAGGGTGTCCCAAAGAACTCAAACATATTTTTGTATCCATTGTTCTCTCTGTAAGTATGGGAGGTTCAAAGTAAACTACCTTGATCATCTACTCACAGAATTTTCTTTCTGGTTTCAGGTAACAAGTTGGCCTTTGTAACCCCAGAAAGAGTGTAAAATTAGATCTAAACACGTGTGGTTATCACTGTGACAGTAATTAACAGACATGATGGGAAGGGCCTCTAGCTAGTGGAACACAACCAGTGTTTTTTCCTTCCCCTTGCCAAACGGTTATGTTTGCCTTCACAGACCTTCATTCGATTAGATTATAGTTTATGCATTTCCTTCAACAGTAATTCAATATCACAAACGTCTTTAAAGAAGTAAAAACATTTTTTTGCAAGATGAAGTTTACGAGGAGGTGGTTAATATGTTCGTTCAACGCACATCATAAACATGCTAACGCGATTGCTGACTGCTCAGTAAGTCACGCTTGAATTACCAGATTAAACTTAGAGACATCTATCAGTATTAATTTTACTAACTTGCAAACAAACGCTGAAGATCAGTAAATAAATCGATAACGTCGCTTGCATATCCTTTCTTGGATGATTCCTCGTGTAGCTTGATTTCTGGAGGGAGACGAAGAGCGAATGGAAACATCTTCTGATTGCAACATTCGATCGGACATATTTACAATGAATTATCAATATATCAATTACCCTTGGTCATTCAAATCATCATGCAGAACCTCGCGCCAACAAATGATTAGAGATGGTTTTACTTTACTTACTGTTAGCAATCAACTATTCTGAAAATCTACAAAGTACAGCACTAATTTTAAAGATTACATTTAGTAAATGCAAGTTACAGATGAAAGATAGGAAAAGAACCACCAGAGTACTTGTCGAAGCACGCCAAGGCAATTAGAGTTAACATGAATCGTTTACATCACTCATTGTCAGCACTGATCTTCACAACTCCATGAAAATTTCCAAAAATACGAAATGGATTACCTGATTGGCGAAAGAAATGAGTAGCCCTCTAACCAGGGAAAACTTAAAAACACCACTGAAGTTTTCAGACCTCTTTTCCTGAATGGGACATTAGCGTGTTCAAAGTGAAACGAAGTTACTATGACGACGTCACTTTCAAAGCATCTTTATGTCATAACAAGGAATAGCGCGGGTTTCTGGGCTGGCTGGCCGGGTAAGCACCAAAACATATTCCTACACTCGTAAAAGTTAAAGATACAAGAGGAATCTTGGAGTGAAGAACTAAAAAGGAGAAAAATAATGAGAAGAATGCAAATTTTCGGAACCCTAACATTATGACGACAAACTGTAGCCTACTTTGAGTTGTCACGCAATGTTGACACTTACAGTTTATTCCCTCCGAGACAAGCACCGTCGAAGTGGACCCCAATTATCCGTCCTAGAAAGCCATCCAGCTCAGAGTGAGTCAAGACAACGTTACTCTTTGGTTATGCTGAGCTAAAGCAGCTTGACTAAGGCTTGATACCATGCCCATCTAAGTCCCACTTCCTTACTTCGAATTTAGCCAATTCTATGATATGAGGGTAAAATTAATTAAAAGAAATGTAACGATTTATTATTTGCAATCAAACATTAACATATTCTAAAAAGTAAGCAGTGCATTCCAACGTGTTCGTTAGTTTAAGCTTTCACTGTCACAGCTTTTTATCTTAGGCTTATTGCTTACACCCTCGGAGGCATTGGGATGCGTGGTTTTGTAGTGTTACAGTTGTCTCCGAGATATTTCAGTAAACAAAATATCGTATATTGCAAAACTGCGGTGATCTCAAATATTTCAGTCTGATTTTTTTGCATTGTAAAAGCCAAAGTTTACGGCGAAACGAAAATATGTGCGTTGTTGTGGTTTCTTGTCCGCAAAACCTCGGACCATTATCTTATAGGTCGTCAGGGTTAAATTCACCTTGTCTTAATGGCTAGAATTCCGTAATATGTCTGAGTAGATTTGAAACAAGAGCTACAAACTTAATTAAAGAATTGAATATTGGTAAAGAAACAAACTGTGTGTAAGCAGGAATCAAGACAGTAAAATGTTTTTTTGGAATTTCATTTTATTTCCTTTGGGTTCATTTCGTTACTACAATTTCATTTGATGTCAGAAAATCTTTTTTGGGAATTTTTTTTTAAGACAGTTATGTTGCTTATTTTAAATCTTAGGTGTCCTAGTTTTAGAATTGTAATTCGAGATTCATTGGTTTAAGCGCGGCAATCCGCTGACGGTACGACGCATAACGGAAGGCACGAAAGACACCGTTCTGTCCTTTCCAGTCTTCTCCAATCCTTGTTTCTCTAATACAATTATTCGAAAATATTCTTAAAGAAGATGCACTTTTGTCTCTTTTCTTCTCTTTTACCACCCTTAAAGACTCTGAATAATAATCCTAACTCAGACTGACTCTTACGGTCGACTGACTCTGAACTCTACAGTACACCTCCTTACATTCACTACGGGTAGCCATGAGCGAACATGCGGGCCAACTGACCTCAAAGGATTAAACATTTGTTATCAGAACTTTAATCTATTGATCAGAAACTTCAAGTATGCGCTAAAAGAAACTAGAAAATTAGAACATGTTCGTGAGGGATATTACTGTTTTTAAAATTAAGTTAAATTTTGAGATATAGCTTTTAAACTAGACTTCACTTTCAGTAATGATTGTAAGATGGTTCTCTAAGATCTTTGCGATATCAATACGCCTCATTTTGTCGCCCTTTAACTGTTTACAAAGTGTGTAAACTGTTATATCTGGTTTGGTTGCCTTCACAAATTCGATGACCTCTTGTCCAGGGGTCTTGCATGTTCCAAGTGCTCCAATCATGTCCTCATTCATGCCAAACACAGCAGCCGCCTGTCTAGTGCCGCCAACACCATATGGGACTTGTTTATCGAGAAAAAAAGCTATTCTATCACAAGTTGTTATGTCTACTTCTTGAAATGTTTTTAGTCCTATGAAATAAGGTAGAAAAATAAATAATAAACTAAAGCTATTTAATGTATTACACAACGACAGGAAGGAACGAATAAATTCTTTTATGCTTCTGAATCAGCGCACTATTTGTCGTCATCTTTAAAAAAGATTCGTATTTCATTGTTTTATAGTGTTTGAGAATTTTAAGACTAGAGGCTTGCAAGTATGCAATGATTTTTTCGCAAAAAAGACCCCTTTAAACATATTCGATTAGATCTTTCCCTCGGGAGGGTTTACCATAGCCAGTATAAAAGCGCGTGCAGGCTATCCTCACATAGAGGATTTAAGGCTTCATTACGCCCTAAACGTGCATACGGTTCTTACTTGTTCCACTCTGGACTTTAGGGACAACATCCAGCCATACCCGTGGTGATTCGCAGTTGATTCCTGAATTTTCTTGCGAATTAACTAGACATGTGTACCAGCCAAATTCACGGAGCTCAACATGATCAAGGATAAGGGTGGCATCGCACTTTCCCAGCAATTCGGCTCCATCTTTTAGCCACTGATAGGAATATTTATCAGGCTGCTGAACTTTTAATTCGAAAATAACTTTCGTACCTTCCTGTTTTTTTTGGGATTTGGGCTGCAGCTCGATCTTTATCTCGCTCTGCTGAGATAAATGCCAAAGCTTTAATTACTGATTTGTCGATTTGTTAAGAACTGTGCTACTCAAAACTGACTGGAATGTTGGTCCGTAACATCATAAAAACTTCCGAAATAGGATTGTCATGACCAATACCTGAGTTTAGGTGTTCTGGTCGAGCAAAATGAGCCATGGAGTCTCAGAAAAGTTCTTCGATAATGGGCTCCCAGATAAGGCTAGTTTTGCCGAAGAGTAGTGGTAGAAAGACTAAACAAGCTAACTCCGCCCCTTCATGATAGGGAAAGTTATCAATGAAAGAGATTTAAATGATAGATAAGGCAGAGTTCTTCCTTACTCAAACCTCCTAATATTTTGATACTTTTTTGTCTTTTTATGCATAGGGAGAATATTGATTCAGGTCATTTTGGGATTAAGAGACTCACCAACTATGATTTCAAATTACTGAAAATAAGTTTTCTTTATCCCTGGCATAAAGAACAGTAGAATACTCTAGGAGTATAACATTAAGTGAAATGAAGTTTTAAAATTTTATATATCTCCTGTGTAGAAGTCCGAAAAATTTTATAACATTACGTCGCGAGGGGGAATAATGTCCCTTTCACATAGTAGACTTGGTAAAGACTTGGAAGGGCGCATTGGTAGTAGTTGTCCTAGACCTTAAAAATGAAAAAACTTCTGTTAGAAACGAGTAAGTATTTTAATTAGAACATTGCAGTTTTGATCAATCAGAAACTCCCCTTTTTATCCGGGTAACTTTTTGCAAAGTTCATTGCACGATAAGTTTTTTGTTCTCATCAAAAGTTGTTAGAAGTATATCCAGGGATTCTTCTGAGATTTAATTATAACTCTGACAGAATAGGCTAATATCACTTTAGCTTTTACATGAAGAAAAATAGATATTTGTTAATCGCCGGCTGAGATGTCCGCATAGGAAAACTGCGAGCAAGGGCTAACACCCAAGAAAGAGAGAGCCGGCTTAGAAAATACTTCTCGTTTGAGAACTAAGCCCCAAAATTGAGGTGAAAAGCTATTGCAATTACCAGCATGGTAGCCAGTTTTTTTGGGCGCTCGATGAAAACGGAGAATGTGCAAAACAGCCATTAACGTTGGCCATGATTGCATATCGTAAAGACCGTTTCATTACCTGGCCAAAATTTAAATTTCTGTCACCAAGTTTACTAACGTGAACGATCGATCTTGCTCAACGTTAGATCAAACAAGACGTGATCAGTCAAAATCCCGGCATGGAAACGTCAGCAGGGCTACAGCTCAGTCTTAAATCTGACTGTTACCGTGACGTCATAATCTTACTACAGCATATGAAACATGATTAGTAAACAATTAGTCGAGTTAGTGAAAGCACGTGTTTGGATATCCTCTTGAGAACTAGAGCCGCAAATGTTGTCACGCAAATTCATTTTATGTTGTTTCGCTTTTCAATGTCCTGTTACGTTTCTAAGTACACCGAATCAGTTAGCGTTTTGTGATCTATTTTCGGTTGACCTTTTGCTTTACATGGACATAGCGAATAAAGTAAATGAGTGCGACAACGAACGTTTATTGAGTATATCCGACACAATCACACTGACTTTCTACTGGTCCTTTAATTTGGCTTTTGTTTACATTCTCTTACCTGTGTACGGTAATTGATCAGCGTATATCTGAGGGAAGGAACATTTCAATTTAGAAGTGGAATTATTGATACGTCATTGTGCTCCTATGCGTGTGAAAAAACAGAATAATCTTTTAAACTGATTTCCTCTTTGTCGTCCTTTCCTCAAAAAGAGAAAATTAATTAGGAACAATAAAAGAAGACAACAAATAAAAAGTCTTTGGATCAATTTCTTCTGTAGCCTTAATCGTGTATTCCATCAGTAACCAAAGTTGTTGAACAATTAAGTTTGCGAGAGAGAAACATGAAGAAAATAGAGGGGAAAGAAAAGAGGATTCGGGGAAATGTCGTTGCTCTCAAGCTTAGTATCTGCCCTGACAAAGTTATGCATCATTACACTTACTTGTGGACCAATGAAATAGCTACAAGCGTTGTAATATCCTGAAACGTTTGAGAAATTTCATTACACATGTGCACATACTTTTTCGTAAGATAATAGTACTTAAAGCTCATGGTACTAAGGGGTGGAAGATTATCAAAGCCAATAAAAATATCATGCTTCAAAGATTTGCACAATATGAAAGTTTACAACGCGATCCTGTAAGATGAAGGCCAATGTACGCGAGTGCTCACAAAAACTTTACTAAAATATGTCTTACAACCACGGAATACATTTAGACTTCTTCTTTAGCAATCTTTTTAAATTTTACGCGGTCCTACGATCTGAATGGAGGGAAAGCAAACGTATAACTGACGTTTGAACAGGGAGACGCCGAGTCTTGTTCTGGCTCCAAGCCCCAGTGGACCCTCCTGCTTGAAATCGCGAGATAAGTAGATTGATAGCTCTCTAGGCATTACAAGGTTGAATATTTCTTTTCATTTTTTTTTCTCTCTGACCTCCACCGAATCTTGATATTGAATTGGAGACAATTCAGCTCTATTTGAAGGCCCTACACTGACGCCAACTAAAGAGCGATCTTAATTATTCTAGGACTTAAATTTTGGTCAGTTAGTTCAAGTTCACGTTTTTGGAAGTAATTGCGATTTAATTTGACCAAGTCGTCAGTACTCTTAATTTTTAAAGGCAAGAGGTAAAGGTCTCTATTCTATGCCGTGTTTAGTCCATAGCGATTTCACCTACCCACCCAACCCACCCCAGGGAGGACATCCATCACACAGTAATCTCGTGCGTGGGAAATTAACGTCTCCTACCCCAACCCTGCAGGAGACGGGACCTCCATTTACTCGTCCCTATCCGAGAAGACTAGAATATCTAACCATTTCTTGATGTTAAAGAAAGGAAGCATATTCTTCTCAATTAATTTTAAGACCCTGAGTGTTGGTCCGGCCGGTATTGAACTCTCGACCTCCCCGCACAGCAGTCCGGCGCTCTCCCAATTGAGCTAACCAGGCGGCGGTTTTGTACCTTGTTTGAAAATATGAATTCAAATCACAATATTTTATTACCAGAAAAATGCTGCAGAGCTCTATCATTGTGGAAGTTTTGCCGCCTATCTGTCGTTTGGTTGAATTGCATTGAGGTTTCTGCTTCAAAATGATTTTGTCTGACATGGTTATCAATAGCACGGCTGGTTGAAACCATTCCTGAAGACAGATAAAAGCAACGGTTAAGCCTATAGTTTTTACTCCTCTTTCGAGATGAACTATGCGACTGACCCTTGTAGTGATACACCAGTCAAAATGAAGTCTTGTTTGTTCACACGTCCGCTGCATACAATCGAACAAAAACAAAAATTTCGAATTTAATAATTCGACGTTTGATCTTAATGCGCGCGCGGATTTGGATTGCCGTTAAAGTTGGCACTTTTAAATACACCGCACCAAGGAAAAGAACCTTTATTTAAATGAAAATTAATGCTTACACGACAAACTATCTTTCGATGTTATCATTTTATTAATACTGTGATCACACTGGGTAATGATGGGTAATTATCGTAAAGAATACGCACCTGATCAGTTAGTCTAGGCTGTTTCAGTGCATTAGGTTTCTCGTTCTGCTAGTCAATAAACTGTATTGCTCAAACATCGTAGTTCGTGTTTGATATTAATGTTACATTTGTTATCGTTACAAAAAATCTTCTCAATATCATTATCATGATTTATGTTGTCATTATTAATATTAGTAAAGAGTATTTCTTATCAATAAAGATTTAGAAATGCAAAGACTAGCAAAAACTAACGATAAAAACCGACGTTTCGGTGTCATCATGACGCCACTGTCAAGGAGAAATAAAAAATGAAGTTTGTGGCAAGGTGTAACACTAAATTAGTATAAATATGTTACGAGCTAATTAAACAAATACTTTTGCGCGAATTGAATCGCTTTGCACGTTCAGAGTGGGTTTTAAGTCTCTGATGAAAAGCATTTCGTTCACCAAACAATCGAACTTGTTACTACACCTTTTCAGAATGCTAAAACGTTTCAGTAGGTCTTTCGGGACTTCGCTGTGCCGTTCGTGGTAGTGTTTATATATTGAAGATGCCTTTCGTTTATGTCCATCCACGCGTGTGTGTAAGTGTCCGCGTGTATAGCCCACATAACCCGCATCACACAGGTCACATTGAAATTGATAAACGACGCGTTGTTGGTTGACAATCTGTGGCTTGATTTCTCGTACTTTAAGATCTTGGCCAACTTTGCGGCTAACAAATACTGGCTGGACAGTTGTCTGCACCTTCATGCTAAGATTCTTGAGCTCTTTCTTAACATAATTTGCTGATTCCTGATCTTTGAAAGGTATGACCACACGAACAATGGATATTGGTTCTTTGGGCGTCTGTGTGGGCTGCGTACCAACAATTCTTGATTGTAAGAAGGTGTTAATGGTAGAATTTACCAGGCGTTCCGGGTATTTAAGCCGTGCGAAAACTTTCTTTAGGCGATCACACTCATCAGAGAAATGGGCCCAGGAGGAAGATAATCGGTGTGCGCGATCCAGCATAGTTTTCAGCAAGCTCCGTTTGTAGCGATTGTCTACATGGCTTTGGTAGTGTAATAGTAGGCCCGTGTTTGTTGGTTTCACATATACCTTGGTTTCAATCCGAGGTGCATGGTTGAGTAGTTCGGTGCCAAGGAAAGGAAGCTTGCTGTTCTTCTCCACCTCCATGGTGAATTTGACCGAAGTGTGGGCGCTGTTGAGGGTATGCAAGAAGGTAGTTGCTGTTGCTAGATCAGGCATTACAGTGAGTGTATCATCAACATATCGACGATAATAGGATGGGAGTTTTCTTTGTCGCTCAAGGGTATCTTCGATGGATGACATGAAGACGTTTGCTAATAAGGGCCCGAGAGG